TCGTGCAAAAAAAAATTGTTACCATAACAGGTTATACTTTATCAATAAATAGAAAATTAACAGGAAATATTTTGATATATGATACTTATTCTGCTTAAAACTAACATCGCCAGTAAATAAAACTACTTCTACCTTACCTTGTGTTGGAATAAACATTTTATAAATTTAACATAATCATAAAACAAACTATTGACAAGGAGACATACCTGAAAGAGTTCTTCTGTTAATAGTTAAACGCACTGCTTCATTGCTTGGCAATGAATCCAAAAATAGTAACACTAGAGAAATGAAAAAATAAAATAATATAATAAAAAAGGGATATATAAAAATATTTAAAAAAATATACATGTATAATTAAGGTTGCATTCCAAGTAAATCAAATATTAACTAAGAAAAACTAAACTACTAATGGACCTGAAAAAACCTTCATAGATTGTTGAAAGAATCAATTCGATAATTCATAAGTTGATTTTGATTTCTTCGACATCTATATCTATAACTAAAAAATTATACATATAATTGAATTTATAATAAAAACAAATTTTATCTCTTACGTAATTATGTAAAAAAATCTCTTACATAATTATACTTAAAAAAAATATTTTATTCTATTTATAAAAATATAAAATTACTAATAATATCCAATTCATATAATTAAAAGATAACTTAATTTCTAGCTCTTCGTCAGGAAACACTATCATTTACTATACAAAGAAAAAATATACATATGTATAGCAAATTGTATAGCAATTGATTTTCACTTATAACAAAACTTTCAGATTTCATTAAAATCTAATAAATAAATTAAATATAAACAAAATGAACATAGATAATTGAAACATAAAATAATTGAATAAGCTATTATATATTGATAGCCATTATAATTTAAAAGTGCAAACATGGTATAGGGTTTTGTTGATATATGGTTCATAGATCATCCAGATCATATTTTAAAATATCTGTTAAAAAATTATCTGGATATTTAAAAAAATTGATTGGTTAAAAAATCAATACCAGAAAATTGTTTGGGTAAAATATCCATATAATCTCAACCTTACACAATTCCGTATGGACAAAAACGATAACGGTTTGATGTCGGCAGCTGATCTAGGCCCTACAATAAGTTTGTGCATCTTTATACACAAACTTAAATTAGAATAATCTCAGCCACTGAAATCAGTTTGTTGTAAGTTAATATGTAAGTATATAACCATGGTTATATGTAAATATATACCATGAAATTACTATGAAAAATAGGATAGAGCAACAAAAAAACAAATAAAACACAAATATAAGATAAAATTATATATTTTATTTAAATAAATTAATCTGAATCAGTTGATTCATCAAATAAATTGGATTGGTTGAGCTTCCGACGTTTTTTGTGTACTGACAATTCACCGTGAGCAGCATCTAAAAAAGGTATAAAATTAAATTTGAACATATCAATAATAGCAATATGATATAAATCACAACATAGATTTCAACTTAGAAACGTGACTTCCAATTTTGATTTTGGAGAACAAAGCAATTATTTTATATTTCTAATATATAAATTATTATATTTATAATTAAATAAAAAGTTACTTTGGCACTTTGGACCAGGATGTTTATTGTCAAAATCTTTATTATTTTTTGCAATAATCAAGTCATTGCATTCAACAGCTTCTATAGAAATTAAAAATATATATATATAAATATATATATATATATATATATATATATATATATATATATATATATATATATATATATATATATATATATATATATATATATATATTTACAGGCTTGGTCCGGAAGCAGGAGCGATCGCTCTCGATTGCTGACCACGTAAATAATATTTAGTTGCGAAAAGCTGGCCAGATTTTTAGTCGTTTTGAGAACATTTTAAAAAGCAAAAAAAAAAAGCGGCGAAGATTAATTGGACCGATGAGAGACAATTACAAAAAAAATAAAATTAAGCGATGTTTTTTATATAAAGTAACAACTTACGATTGTTTAAAAAGGAAACAAATATTCTTTATTAACAAAGTTTGCAAGTTTTAGTTTTATTTAAGCTGAACTATTTTATAAATAAAAAAGTTAATTTTTTTAATACCTATTTTATGTTTCACGTAGTTTGAAAAGTTTAACATATTTGATGCGATTCTTCTTAGTAAGATAAACAAATGAAATAATTAAATCATTGACTTACTATAGGAATTAAATAATCAAGATAGAAATCAACTAAAAAGGTTAAAAATACTTAATGACCAGGAAGCGAAACTGCTTCACAATATCGCTGATGATGTTTAGTGAGTGGGAATTTTAATTTTAATTAGTATTTAAAGCAGAAAAAAGTATAACGAGTTTTAAGAATGGCAACTTAAGCGAAAATAATTAGAGTAAGTAAACCAATATCTAGAAACTTTTCTTTATATCTAATTATTTGCTATATATATTTGTGTTCTGTCGTGACCTCAGGCGCGATGCTTGTTCATCCGCAAGTTACTTTGTATGCGTTGTTTGTGTTTAGTAACCAGAAACTACTTATATGTTTGTTACATAAAGTTAATAACTTTAACGATTATAACTTCATTGAAAACGCAATTATTTTTGTAAGTCTTTGTTTAAATCATAAAAATTGTTTTAAAAGATACATTTCGATAAAAAACAAATACACAAAATTACATTTACATAAAGAATACAATCTCTTTTAAAATAAAAAATAAGAATATACTAATAAAATCTATGATTTATAATAAACTTTTAAAACTTTAACAATTTAATCAATATATATTTAAAACATTTATTTTCGTAAACAAATAATATATATTCTTAAAACAATGCTAGAAATCTCAAAACGGAACAAATCGTGTATAATACGATTTCTAAAACTCTAGAACTTTATTTCGCTTAATCAGCGTATTTTTTGAACCAATAGAATTAGTTTGTTCGTTAATTTGGCGGGTTTTTAGTGTTCGCAAATATTCTTTGTATTCTTTCGCACAAAGATGTTTTGAGAACATTAAAGTTTTTTATGTTTATATGTATGTCCGTAAAACAAAATTTTTTTGTTTCGTACATAAACTTAAACGTTCTCAAAACGACTAAAAAACCTGGCCAGTTTTACGCAACTAAATATAATTTCCGTGGTCAGTATTCGAGAGCGATCGCTCCCGCTTCCCGACCAAGCCTGTATATATATATATATATTTTACCATACCATACCAATTATTCATACCAAGGATTCATACATAGAAATACATAAATACATTAATATATACAGCATTTTAAAAAAAAGTCATGATTTCAAATAACCAATAGAAACAACATTTCATAAAATACTTATACCTTTAGGAACTTTAGAATTTCGCCTTGCAGCCCTTCCACCATTCTTGTCCTTTGCATTATGCAAAAATCGTTTGATGCGCAACTCTACAACATTGCGAGTTTCATTTGGAAATTTTGTCAAAACGCAGTCCTTTATGAATTTCTCTAACTTCACTGGAAGTTTTAATTTACCATTTTTCCCACTTCGATTAAGTTTGTTTTGCCAAATCAATTGATAAAAGGAGATTTAATAAACGCTCACAAAGATCATTGGAATCACGGCCACCTTCTTGAAGCATCCACTGAAATATTTCATCAGATAAAACAATATCTGCATTTGCTAGATCATCGGGAGTACAAAACAAAGGAACTTTTCTTTGTTCGCTTTTCAATAATGGTATTGCTTTCACTGTTGAATGCGTCAAGCTGTCCAGCCGTTGTGAAATAAGAGCTAATTTTTGCAAAATGACAGCTTGACCATATCGCACAGCTTGGACTGTGTCAGAATCGATGCCTGCATCATTGCAAAGAACATTGAGCTCATGGAGCACAGCATGAGTACTATTTGCTCGTTTTGTTTTTGGACCATCTGACGCTGACACTTTGCAGGCCAAAGGTTTAAAAGACTTAGAAATAATAGAAGATGAGACTTGTAATTGGTTTTTATTAACATGTTGGATAGAAGATGTTGGTGTAAATATATGCATTGGGACTAAAGGTGGAGAACAAAGTGGAGGTATTGGTTCACTAACTTTAACAGCTAGTGGTTTAACAAACAGCGGTGTAAAGGCATCAGAATCGGTTCCACTGGTGAGGTTGTCTAAAGGCTGTAAAGGTGCGTGTTTATTAGGTCGAACTCTATATAAATTATAAAAGAACCAACTTTATTAAATATTCTCAAGAAACACAAAAACTAAAAATTTAAATTTTATAAATACCTGAACTTGATGTACTTCATTAACCTCAATGCACCAAAATTTTTAACTTTAACTGCATGTCTCAAACTGTTTATAGTTTGCTGACAACTGTCATCATTAGGAACTACTTGCAGAAGACATGCATCAAATGGTTGGTCTTTCCACACAGCTTGAATACGTACAACATGATCAACTGACAATGAATTCCAATCATCAATTGAGTAACCTTCATAGTCCATGAGCATGACATCTTCTTCATTTAATATATCCACATGTGTGTCATCAAAATATACTATGTATTTCATTCTATCTATATCTATATATATATATATATATATATATATATATATATATATATATATATATATATATATATATATATATATATATATATACAATGATGATAATATATATATATATATATATATATATATATATATATATATATATATATATATATATATATATATATATATATATATATATATATATATATATATATATATATATATATATATGATTATATATATATATATATATATATATATATATATATATATATATATATATATAATGATGACTAATATTAAAAGTAATAAAAAACATAAGCAAATGATCAGCAATAGTTAAGATTTTTTCTTTGGACTCTGAATCCTTGTTGTCACTTGAGTCGCTATGCAAACACTGTACAAAATCTTCTGACTCTGAGAGCATGCAATCTTCTTCATTTAAATACAAATCACTATCTGAATAATTTTAATTATTTTCATTGCTTTCAAAACAAACGTCAGATATAGAGAAATCAACTGGGTATAGGTTAGCTCTGTCAACTTGTGGCTTAAGAGTTTTGCCTAAATAAAATAATTTTAAACTTTCAATTAAATATAAATTCATAATTTAAATGTTATATTTGATATCACAACAGAAATTAAAAAATATTTAAAGAGCTATTACCGTTTACTTCAATACTGCGATTTTGGTCTAAATGAAACAATAAATTACATTATAGCTTTATAGCATTTAGTAAACTATTAGCATTACGGAATGATTATTTAAATCAGAAGAATACTACAAAAATTATATACTTTCACAATAGAAAACAACATTAACGTAAATTATAAAAATAATTAAACATAATTATATATGTATATCTCTCTCTCTCTCATATATATATATATATATATATATATATATATATATATATATATATATATATATATATATATATATATATATATATATATATATATATATATATATATATATATATATATATATATATATATATATATATGAAAGAGAGAGAGAGAGAGAGAGAGAGAGGGAGAGAGAGAGGGAGAGAGAGAGAGGAGAGAGAGAGATTTTATAATAACATTACATATAATAACAATTATTATTACATTTTATCTGCAAAGTTTGCACAATTATTATTTTTTTTTTAATAAAAATAGTTTCATTTTATATTATTGTTATTGATATTATATCATCGAACTTATATGATATAAAACTTTGTTACAATGATTAACACTTTAATCATTAAAATAAATGTTCTATATCATTTTGCCTAAGTTTTATTTTTATATAAACAATTGCAATCAAATTTTTAAATACTAGTTTATATTATTAATATAAATTTACCATGTATTGAAGAAAAAAAAGTTGACAATTCATAACTTGCTCTTCTCCTATCAGAACGATTTGATGCCATCATTAAAATATTGAATTGGTTTATATAACTAGTAACTAAAATATAGTTATATTTTAGTTGCACATTAATTATTGCTTATAGTATATTATATATAACAATAATATTGTGATCATAAAAAAAATTATTACTGTAAATATAAAATATACAATATAAATAAACAAGGCAAAAATTTGAAGTGAAATAATAAACAAATAGTTAAGCTTATTTTGCTTAAAACTTATGTTACCAGTATATAAAAAACTTTCTACCTTACCTTGTATTGAATTGAACTTTTATATCTTTAACATTTCTATCTGAATGATGTTCACAATTTATGTTCAATCTTTAAAATTTAATGAGGTAATTTAAAATCGTTAAAGACTCATAATTGTTTACTTATTTAACAAGTTTTGAGTTAATGAACTAATTAATATCATTTAATGTTTAACTTAAAAATGAACAATTTTTTAATTAAACATAAATCACAAACTGTATGCTCACAGTTTAAGTATTTTTTAACTGTTATCAAAACAAATTACTGTTTACCTAGTATATTGATATTATTATCTAATATTTTTATATCTTAAACTTTAATGATTTATAAATTTATATAACTATTCAAATAAAATTCAAATAACTATTTGTAAATAAAAAGTAATGTTATTATTTATAAATACCAATTAATATTATTAAATAATATTAATTTAACAGGTAAACGAATTAACTTTCCTATGCATTAAAAAATTTTGCCTTCAGTTAGATAGATTTGCTGCCATTTTTAAAATTCAACATATTCGGTTTTTTATCATTCAAATAAAAAACAGAACCAAATTGGCTGAACATCGGCTGAACGTCGGCTGAATGTCTGTTTGACCATTCATCGGCCAACAGACACAAAACCGACGTTTCACCGATATTGTTTTGCTAAAAACAGAGTAGCCGATGTTTAACCGATGTAACAAGCTTGGCCCGAGCTCGGCCCACCGTCGGACTTAACACAGGGTTTGAAACTCTTGTTTTAAATCTATTTGTTGTTGCTGCTGCTGCTGTTGTTGTTGTTGTTGTTGTTGTTGTTGTTGCTGTTGTTGTTGTTGTTATTGTTGTTGTTGTTGTTGTTGTTGTTGTTGTTGTTGTTGTTGTTGTTATTGTTGCTGTTGTTGTTGTTTTAGTTGTTGTTGTTGTTTAGTTGTTGTTATTGTTATTTTTGTTGTTGTTGCGGTTGTTTTTGCTGTTGTTGTTGGTTGTTATTGTTGTTGTTGTTGTACTGTCGTTGTTGTTGTTATTTTTGTTGTGTTGTTGTTGTTATTGCTGTGGTTGATGATGTTGTTACTACAACCCTCTCTCAACTCTTTAACTCTAAAACTTAAGTCTTGTCACAAAGTAGTGAAACAGGTTCAGCGCGGTAGTACCAGAGACGTGGAAGGTATTAAACTTCTCGTCTATAAATGCGATCTACCATTACTCAGCTACCGCACTACTACCGAGTTAAAGAAACCTCTTTGTTATCGAACCATTTATTGTGCAGTATGTTTTAATGATCGAAACAAGTAATAACTTGTTACTGCTTAGTCATGCAAGTAGCCAAGTCTCAATAACCTTTGCTGCAGTAATTTTGCAATGTGAGGACGAAATGAGAAGTAGTAAACTTTGTTGTGCTCCGCTTTGCTTAACTCTGGTGAGTTAAAAAAAGTAAATTGCTGCCGTAACTGTTGTTTTCGACGTTCTAAAAAAATGATGGAGTTTTTATTTTCTTCTTAAGAATTAGATTTGTTAATAAACAAAATTAAAAGACTTTTTATTAAAACTTTATAAACTTTTTTATAACAACTTTAAAAAAATTGAGATTAAAAATGATGAGAATATTTATTTATAAAAATTGAAAAAAAAAGTTTACTATTTAAAGTGTTTTGTTTATAGTTTTAAAAGAAAGCTAATCAAGAGTGTTGTAACATCAAATGAATCTGTTATCTACAAGAGTATTTTTCAATGAACCAAACCACAATGCTGCTTACTTAGCAAAACTGATTACTAATTGTTTAGAGGAGTTATGACCGCAAAAATGTTTAAGAAAGGTTTACCTGCAACTACTCTGGAATTATACTTTCAATCCTCTCTGGATCAGAATTTCGGAAGCAATTGAGTACAGAAACTTAATACTCAATTGAGTACATACCAACTACCTAACTGTTTTAACATATCTTTTATAAATATTTGTGGTCTGCAAAGCAACCTTTTATAAGATCAATCTTACCTCTTGCAAAATTCAGATTTAATGAATAACAGTTTGATGGAAAACCATATAAGTTATCAGCACATGTCTCGATGAAAAAAAAAAAGTTCCAATTTTCAGAAGGCAACTTTAGTTTAAGCATATTTTTTCCTCAGATATTAGTAATTCTTCTTTTAAATAAAAATCCTTCATTCATATTATTTTATTTTTTTATTATATTTGTTTTTTTTCTTGTAACTCCCAACTTAATAGTGGTTCCTTGCAGCCTTGTTAGGAGTGAACCAGAATAATAATAAAAAATAAAAACAATGCTAAAAATAAAAAAAATGCTAAAAAAAAAGTTTTCACCCCATAATGGGAAACTCTAATATATTCCTTTTGCAGTTTTAACCACTAAAATTTTAATAATGTCATCTTCAACAGCTGAAAACGGAAAGAACTGTTAATACTCAAGGCTTCATCGACAGGAAACTTCAAAATTCTCTAATAAATGACAGTGCTAAAAATGACGCCTCTGGCACTGACATTTGTTATAGATGGGATCTACATTCGGAGTTGTTTTGAGTAATTGTTCTTATCCTAACTCGGTGTCTGTTATTTCTTTATTTTTTTTGTTTTTTGTAATCAAATACTTCAGTACGTGTTTCCACAGTTATTTTTTTATAAGTTATTGTATTTGAACTACTAGGAACACAATGGTCATAAATCCGTGTATTTTATCACATAATTTTTTTTTTTTAAATGTGCTTGATTTTTTTAAGCCATTTCCTCTTTTGAAAATAAGTTAGAACAAATTCCAGTAATTTTGGCTTTGCAAAAAGAGGATATTAAATTAACATCCAAATTCTGCCCAGTATTTACTTGTTTTAAACTTTCTTGACAAACTACTTTTTAACGGTTCCACCAAAACTATTACTGGGGAATTTACCATGGCTGGTAGCAAAAAAGTACTAATTTATTCGTTCATTCAGCATTTAAATTTTAAAGTTTTTACTATGATGATAAAGCGTCAAACCCGCTTTACGGACTGAGAGTATGGTGAGTTTGGGAAGAACGAAGATATGTTAGAGCGAAAGATAGAAATATTCGAGTTAGAAAGATAGCATAGAGTAAGCGGACAGGATTGCACACGATTTTAGAGAGTGCAATGCATACTGTTAGTTAAGTCACCTAACTAATGTACGCCGACAAAGTTGTGATTGGAGTTCACATTACACTAGCTCTTCCTCAACTTTTTTAGTCGTTTTTTAATGATGGTATTGTGTTTATAGTTCTTGTAGTCCGCGAGCTAATTCCCTTGAGGACTACTTGACAAGAATTACATAGAAATATTTACAAAGTTTTTTCTATGCTTTTTAAGTCGAGAAACAGAGTGCAGCAAGAATAAGCGAGTTTAGAAAAGTTAGAAAAAGAAAAAAGAAAAGGCGAAAATTAAAAATAAAAAAAATAAAAGTTTGGGTCTTTCAAAAGGTATGAGGTTTTTTGATTTATTTCAAAAACTGATTTAGTTTGTTTTCTAGTTTTATGTTTCCGTTTATATCTCTTATTTCTTTAGTTTCATTTAAAAAAGGGTTTAGTTGATTGTTTTCTTTCGCAATGTCGTGTTCGATCTGTAAAATTTTTTTTAATTTTAGATATATATGCTCTTAAGAGGTTTATTCTTGCGCTTATACTTCTCTCATGATAAGCTCTCATACGCATCATCATATGATTAGCTCTCATACGCATCGTATAGACATAATAAAAAAGCTCGCCAAGCAATAAATTACCAATGTAAAATTTTGGCGCGTTTTCAACAAAACCAAAAAGATAAAATTTAAAAGTGTTTTTAAAAGGTTTACTACTGGGATAAATCTTATTTAGCAAAAATATTGTGTATTTAATTAAAGGTTGTACTTTTTTGCAACTATATATCATGTGAGATAGAGTTTCTCTATCTCTATTTTTTAATGATCAACATTTTTTAAATAGCAGCAAGAAGACCATTTTCGAATATATAAATAGCTAACAACAGTAGCTTTAGAAGATTATGGGTTTGTATTTATTTTTTAATAATAGGATTTGAATATATATTTCAAGTAGTTTTTAACCACAGTTTTTGTAAGATATTTGTAGAATGTTATTCGGTTCAAGTTTTGTTAAAATAAGATTTTTGTTAGAGCGACATTAAAAAAATCTCTAGGAACCAACTACAATAGTCTCTAACTGAGATAAAGGGAAAGGAACTAACTACAATATTCTCTAACTGAGATAAAGTGAAAGGAACTAACTACAATAATCTCTAACTGAGATAAAGTGAAAGGAACTAACTACAATAATCTCTAACTGAGATAAAGACATACAAAATCAACATTTTAAAACTGTAATATAATACATTTGTTCCTTTTTGATGAGCATAAAAAAACTTATTTGAATTCAATGGCAATAAATTTTCATGATATGCCAAAATGGGAGATTGTTCCTCTCTGTTAAATGTTGTCCGTTTATTAAAAACTCTCCTATAAATGTCTCGCATAAATTTCCTTGGCCATAATTTAAAAAAAAAAAAATTACAGAATAAGGTCAATGTTAGATTATTCACTAAAATATTATAAGTTCATTTTTCTTGTTTTTTTGCTTATTCTAAGTTTTTTCTCAGAAAGTTGTATTTTGTTTAAAAAAAAATAATATATTTCGCACTTATCACACTTTCCCGGTGCTCTGTGATAAAATTGTAAAGACTTCTGGGTAGAGTTAGACTGTTAAATAATTCGACGGTCAACTAAATCGACTAATATATTTTCTAAAGTCGACTTAAATTGACGAATACATTTTAAAGATCGAATAAGTCGACAAAAAGTTGATTTAGCCGAAATAAATTGTCATAAAAATAATTAAGTAATTTATTTTTGCTTTTTATTTTTTTAGATCATTTAAATGTTAATGAAGCAAACACTCTGAGAGAACCGCCACTCCAACAACTCGATAATTTATTATCAGACCTTATGGTTTAGGGACTGTCTTAAATACTCGCTATATATAATAGTGCCCCAGGGGCCCCGAGGGGCCAGCTTGAAGTGGCTCTGTATGAAAGTATTTATGAAAATTAAAAACATCGAGTAAAAAAAAAAAAAAATAATGAAATACATCACCGAATGTTTCATAAGGTATAATTTTTCTTTTTTTTATGCAGTTATTATGGTGCTCCCAGAAGTTTGTACGATCTTATTACAGAGTACCGGAAAAAGACTAATTAATGTTAGTATGTTATAAATTAGATAAAATTTTATAAGAGTAAACAAAAAATTTGTAATAATTATAATTAGAGATGTCATACTTCCTAAAATAGTCATTCACTATGTACACTTCCAACTGAAATTTTTTTAGCAAGTTCTGTTAGTATAATGTTTTGTGTTTGCTGAAACGCAAATACCTGAGCTGGTTATTTATGCAATACCTCTGAAATGCAAATGGTTATTTTTATAATCTTTTTGAGAGGATTGAAGAGTTTGATACGTTTATACATAACTATAGTTAAATCAAATTGATGTAACAGTCAAAAAATAATGTGTGCTATTACACAGCCAAGTCATAAATTAACAAAAACGCCCACAGCGTAGAGTTTTTTGCCAGAATACCCTCAACATGTTGTGGGTATTCTGGCAAGAAACGTTAACTCATAAATCCTTGTTAAGAGAAATCAAATATTAAGTTTTCTTCCAATTTGAAACTATTATAATCTTATAAAATTAAATTTGGTGTTAATATTTAAATACACCATTATGTTAAATGCTTATTTAAGAAAATATTTAAAGCTTTTATTTTTTTAGTTTAAAAGCTTTTATCCTAAATAAAACACCCGTTTTATGAAATAACGTGAAATGTAATTTTATAACCAGAGAAAAGCTTTTCTCTGATTATAAAAATACATTTAAACATCTCTAAAGATGTTTCATTCAACTTGAATTTTGCCAGTCTTTATAGTGCTGTAAGTTTTACAATTCTGCATCATTAAATCAAAACTGAGAGTTTTTAACTTAACGTCTTTTGCCAGTATACACACGATATACACTTCAATGAACCATGGCGGAACTCTCAAAATAGGAAAGTGTCAGCAAATATTCGGCAGCCGAATATTTGGTTCTTCGGCCTTTATAATGAAAATTCAGCCTTCTCACAAACTTACCGCTAATGTAAATACATTTTGCCGCGCATATTATTAACTGCCAGTCATTGTAAGGACGTTTAAGTCTAGCCCCCAACAGTTAGTCATGCATGTTTATTACCCATTGCCTTTAACCCTAGCGGTCTGTTAATGAATGTATAATTTTGAATATAGTTGATGTACTAAATAATATAACTTTAACTTACTACATTAAATTACTACATCACATACAATAGTAATACCAAAAAAATTGAACAATATGTGATAAAACGTTTATTAGCAATGTTAAAAAGCAGGATGAATGTTATAAATTTCTCTTACAAAACTATTTTTTATAAGAGAAAGCAAAAGTATTATTAACTTGGCAGCATATTATACAACAACAATACTGAACAATTATGTACCGAATCAATGGTGGACAATACCCGGAAGCATTTTTCTTGCACCTTTTGTGAGATATTGTGGTAGAGGAAAAGTGAGATGACCAACTTAATTACTTTGACTGACTGCTGCACCCCTCAAAATAGGATCAGTTTATTATCAAATAGTATGTCACATAACAAAGTACTTACTTTCTAGTGATTTATGTTACGAGACTTCAAGGACTATTGTTTACCACCAAAGATATTTATTTACAAGTTAATTCCTTTTTCTAACATTGCTGTGCTAAAACTACCCATGATTGAAATGAACTTATGACTGGTGCTAATGTCAAACTTAATGAAAAAACCTAACAGAAAAAACGCCGGCACTAGCCCATCAACTTCTAGAGTTTTGAATGTTAAACCAAAGATTTAAACTTGCATAATTTTAAGGTAATATTTTCTTTTGCGTCTCTCCAGGGCCTAGGTTACTAACCAGTGGTTCTTGACCGACAAAATGATAGGATATGATGAAAAGCTTTTAAGGCATAATGTAATGGTTATTAAATATAATAACGATAGAATCTTGATAGATAATATGGCAATTACCCGTTTATTATACTACTGTTTCAATTTTTTAAAAGTATTTAACTTTTCAGTTAAAATTTAAAATTTTAAAAGTAGTTAACTTTTCAGTTAAAATTTAAAATTTTAAAAGTAGTTAACTTTTCAGTTAAAGTTTCAAAATTTAAAAGTAGTTAACTACTTCAATCACAAATTTTAAAGTAGCTAAAATATTTCTAACTACCGTTATAACCGCAGTTGGAACCTTGTAATAGTGAAGATACGACTGCCTTACTATGACAAGGTCCTAACTGCATTTTGAGGGTATTTGTTTTTCAATGAAGAGTTAAGAATTTTTTAGTTACAAATAGTGATACTAAAGACAAATGTTATTATGGGTGAATAATCTTATCAATTGATACTGATAAATTTTTATTGTAAGAAAATAACATTTTAACATCGATTTACTCAAAACTACTCACGGATCAGTAAAAACTGATCAAGAACACAGATCAGTAAGTTTGAGGAGCCGTGGCGCAGTGGTAAAACACTTCCCAGCAAACATGTCCTATAGGGGCCCATATGGGTCTGCCCAAGTGGACCATATGTGGGCTTTATATATGGACCCCATGTGGGCTAGCCCTTGAATACAAAATTTTGTAGTCAAGGGCTAACTCACATGTAGTCCATTTAGGACCCATTTATGTAGTTAAAAAAGCGTTTAATTCCATCTTATTTTCTAAATTTAAATGCCATCCGATTTTGCGTGCGACGGTATAAGGTACTCCGCTTTATTAGCTGGAAGAGTATTAATCACAATAGCGAACTTACTTGATGAACCCCCCTCCTTTACGTTTTTCAAATGTAATTACGTCTCAAAGCTTTTCTCAAATTTTAAATTAAATTCAAATCTTTTTCAAAAAATCTTCTTTTTATTTAAAGTCAAAACATTTTAAAGACTCCGTAATAGTGTTATTAATGTCATTAATGTATTAGTGGTAGTAAAAGAGTTTTAAATTGTATTTGATATAAATATATATTTTTTTTGTATGAAAAGGTTTTGAAAGTGTATAAACTATTTGAGTTTTAATAAACCCACATGCAAAAATGCATATAAAATGACAGGTCTTAAAGAGGTATTTTGTAATTAATAGCCACAAACAAATATAGGTTAAAATTTACTTATTTATAAAAGGCGGAATTTAAAAATCGGAATTTAAAAATCGGAATTTAAAAATAGATTTAAAAAATTTAAAAATTTTGTATTCAAGGGCTAGCCCACATGGGGTCCATACATAAAGCTCACATAGGGCCTACTTGGGCAAACCCATATGGGCCCCAATAGGACATGTTTGCTGGGATTAGGCCCCATGGGGGGGCCAATATGACTTGCTGGCTGGGTTGCCTCAGAAACAAAGGATCCACGGTTCAAACCCCACCTCTGAGCAAGTTTTGTGACATTGGCTAGAAAGGAGGCGTGAACTTAAATTAAATGCTCATACGCGGTGCTTTGTCTTAACACCGTAATGACTTCTTGGGGCACCTAAATTAAAAACAAAAAGAACGTTGTCAAACCAACGCGACAATCTTTAGAAAAAGCTTTTTTTTTTAAATGAACAAACAAAAATAAAAGATTGGAAAGTTAAATCGAATGTAAAGATAAGAGGGTTTTAAGATTTTCGATAACAACACTTCTGGGAGCCCTTAATAACTATCAAAAAAAGAAATATTAATAATAAAAAAAAAATAATAATATTAAAGCTCTTAATATTGCAACCGTGGAGCAGTGGTTACAAGACGTATTTTAGACATTTAAAACACGATGTGCCCACTCGGTAGAGTTCAGGCTCAGAACCAAGAGGTCTTAAGTTTGACGCCGGCTTTAGTTCAATAAGCAAAATTGGTAAGGAAGGAGGCGTGAACTTCTTAGGTAAATTGATCCTTAGCATTGGTGACTCTATGATAAGACTGCGATTACAAAACGCTTAAAAAAAAATCCAAAAAAAAAACACATTTAAACGCACTTTATTTAACTCTCTTTCATGCAATAATATATTTAGTGAACTAAAAGAAAATGCAAAAAAAATAAAATAATAATAATAAATTAAATGAATTTTAATCATCCGATACCAAATTATAAATTGCACACGTTTATAGCATATTGTTTTTTATGTTTAGTATCTGGCTGTAGAAGAAGCCATCTTCACGACTTAAAAGCAAATTTTGCCGAAAAATTATTTGGTACTAGGTTCGAGCATGCTTCAAGTTAATTTTCGAATCAGTTGTTGTTAAAGCGTTGAAGTTTAAAGTATTTATGCTAAAAGTCTCAAGTTTCATTGTAGAATTTGTATTGCTGAACGGTTATCCAAAACTTCATATAAGTTTAAGTTAATATGTCAGAGTTACACCCAAATAAAGCACTTCTTAATAACAAATTTAATGGCTATAAACTGGCAAGTGAAAGCTTAGCCTATTTTTCTTATCCTCACGTATCTCCAGTTCCTACAAAAGATTATTTTGAATCAGATTCATTTTCATATATTTTTTTGCGTAGTTATGGGTTTCAAAATAGATTGTTTATAGACAGTTTTAATGACGAATTTGTATATTTCACTGATAATAGCTATAATATTTATGTATACTCGCCTAATGAGGTATATTAATATTAATTTCTTTTTTTTTGTACTTGTAGATTTTTTTGAATTTTTATTTGCAATTTCTATATTTATAAAACAATATACAACTTACTAATACATTTAATTTAATAAATAAGTGTTTCATCTATAAATCAAATTTTCAGGTGGTTCCAAGAAAAGTATTTCAAATTGCATCAAGTTCAGAACTAAATTTAAAGTTAGAATGTTCAATTGTATTTGCCACAGAGCATGTCACACTGGTAAATAATGGAAGTGGTGCCATTTATCTTGTTTACACAAAAAATCTTCGTAACGTTGTTTGTCAATGGGATTCTGAAGCTTCTATATTAATACATGATTTTAAGCTCCCATCAGTAATTAATAAAGCATACTTTGATAAAGAGAAAAATATTTTTCATGCGTTTGTATCAACACTTAAAGAAATAAAACACAATGAAGTTAAAAAAACATATGTTATTTTGCAGTGGTTGCAGTTTACTTATGATTTCAATTCTTGTTCTGAAGTGATTAATATTAAAATGTTCATAAGCAAAAGCTTGCCATATGCATTTTGGACTAATGCAGATTCATCAAAGTTATATGTTGCTTCTGATAGAAAGTTTCACCTGGTAGAAAATAACACATTAGGTATATTTACATTACCTTATTTTTGACTTTCAAGAAATAATTGTAAATTTACTTGTTTATAGGTATTTCTGTTTCTGATTCAGGTGTTGTAGGAAAAATAAACATGATTATTTTTTATATTAAACTGTAAACTTTAACTTTGAGAAAACAACCTAGTTTTATCTTTTAGGTATTTTTTAAACTACAATATATATATATATATATATATATATATATATATATATATATATATATATATATATATATATATATATATATATATATATATATATATATATATATATATATATATATATATATATATAATAGATATATTGTATAATATATTACAATTATTTTTTATACAAAATTTTTAACAAAGTATTTTAAACTACAATATATATATATATATATATATATATATATATATATATATATATATATATATATATATATATATATATATATATATATATATATATATATATATATATATATATATATATATATATATATATATATATATATATATATATACATATATATATATATATATATATATATATATATATATATATATATATATATATATATATATATATATATATATATATATATATATATATATATATATATATATATATATATATATATATACTCTTGCATGGTAGTCAGAAAGAGTTTCCCATAAACTGTAGTTTTAAAGAGCGCGTTGATAAACCAGATATATATATATATATATATATATATATATATATATATATATATATATATATATATATATATATATATATATATTATAGTGTTATTACTTTTATAATGCAGTTAGTTATTAGATTGTTATTACTTTTGTCATAAGTTTATTATTTTATTTTTTATATCTTTTTTGCTAACAAATTTAAGTTGATTCATCCCTTAAAAACAAAGAACACGGTTTTGCATAAACAAAAACTTTGAAAACCAGATATTCTTCCAGATTTTTGATTCGCGATCGCTTAATTCAACCATTGATATCGAAAAATATTTTTATTTTTATTATATTCTTGTCTACTTTTTTCCTTGGCTTTTATCAATTTTGGTAGTGGAAAATAAAAAATGCCCTAAAAATAAGAAAACAAAAACAGTAAAATATTTAGGTATATTATTTTTTTGACAGCAATTTTCTTTTTTTAATATTCAATTTTTTTAGCTTTAATTTATTAAGATTTTCTATTTTGTTTTGTCTTTGGTCATTTCCTTCGAGTATAGCTATTTTAATCTTAAAATATTTTTGCTGTATATTTTTTTTAGCTTTAATTTTTTTTTAGCTTTAATTTGTTTAGATTTTCTATTTCATATAGTCTTTAGTCATTTCCTTCAAGTATAGCTGTTTTAATGTTAAATATATTCTTTTGTAAAAAAAAAAAAGAAAAGAGAAAGAAAAATAGAGGAAAAAAAAAATCCTTTTTTTTATTTTTTTTTAATTTATTTTTTTATTCAAAATTCTTTCTATATTATGAGGAAATTTATTTTTTTGATATTGCACAATCTGATAATTTTATAAAGCTGATGTAACTTTTATAAAATATTATTTTTCTAAACTATTTTTAGCAAAATAAATATTAACTTATAATATTAACGAAGACATTGCGAGAGTTATATTGCTTCAAGCGTAAATTCAAGCAAAAAAATTCATAATAGAGTTATAACCATTAATTTTTTTTTTAATTATAAAAAAATAAACTCTATAAGATGTCGTTTAAAGTTTGTAATAATGTTTTTTCATTTTTTTGATAAAAGCAATTATTATAACAAAATAAGCAAACTAAAAAGAATTAAATTATTAAAAGTAACGATAATAAAAAATAAAGTTGTATGTGAACTATTTTTTACCTAACATTTTTTGTTTTGTTTTTTAATTTTTAAGAAAAATTTGGTAATTATTTTTGTTATTTTTTATGAGAAATTGTCTAAGTAAATATTATAGCTATTGCAAGATGATAAATAAAAGATTTTTTTTAAGTTTCTTTATGAATTCTTTTTTTAAGTGTCGTATACTGTAAAATCACCTAAGTTGGGTCACTTAAGCTTTGAACATTTATTTATCACGTATAAATTAAAAATTTTCAATTTTTTTTCATAAACATACAAAAAATTATTGATAATTGATATTGTAAAAATAAAAAAATAAAAACTAGTAATCAATATTTAATTTCAAACGAGAATATCTACTTAGACCGAACTTTCAATACCATCTCATAAGTTCGGTCGCTTTATAAATCCTAATAACACATTACGTCACGAATAATAAAAAACAATTTTTAATTGTTATATTGTTTAATGATATAATATCAGGTAATAGCAGTAACCAAGGAGGGCATCGTCCCGAACTCTAAAAAAAGTCTTTTGGGTTGCCAAAGAAAACAATATGAGCAGATAAAAAAAGGCCTTTTTAAGTATAAATAATATTATATTTTATTTTTATTACAATTAGTCAACTATTTTGTTACTTTTGGTTTTATGCCTTTTTATTTGTTGTTCAAATGCCTTAGGAAGTCCTTATGGTCTTATCACAGAAAAGTCCATTAGGACTTCTTGGGGGCATCTACATGCTACGTTCGCTACACCACTGTTTAATAATATTAAAAAGATATTTTTCAATAAAGTTAAAAATTTAAAAAAAAAAATATACTAGTTTATTGGCAATTCTTGCACCAAATTAGAACGGCAAGATCCATCCAAGATCACAGGATTTGCAATGCATCCTTAATTATTGTTGAGCTGCATTTTGATCTCCAAAAAAAATGTCACAAGCTTGACATTTTTTAAATTCAAGGAACCATCAGATTTACAGTGTTGATATATGGAAGTTGCTTCAGATTCTGACATAATCGGAGTTTCAATAACTCCCACTAGTTGTTGTTTCTGCTTTTTAATAGTAGGCTTGTTAAACAAACCAGCTTCATTTGCCAAATATTTTTGAGTCTTAATTGAATTAGTCTTCTGTTTTGTTTTTTCATGCAAAATTTTTCTAGCTTGTATTTCGTTCTTCTTATTTTGTGCCATTGTTTTCTTATTTGTAAGTTCTATCAAAGCTTTTTCAGAAGTCATAATGTAACTTTTCATAAGGCGCATGTTATTATCAGAAACATTTAGCTTTGAATCTTATACGGAAGCTTTGGGCTGGCCAACATGTAAAGCATTGATGTCTTTAAATGCTCACAAGCAGTTGTGCAGCATGTTAAAGGAGGTATTTGTTTTAATGAGCTCAAAGAAGTTTGTGTGCTTGAACTTCCATGCTTTTGTATACTTGAAGGAATTTCTGGAATTGTGGTGACTGGTATAAGCAGTGTTGGTAAGGCTTGAGTACTTTGTGCAAAAATCAATCCAATAGCTAATTTTTCATTAGTTATTTTTTCCCGACACAAAGGAAAAATACCTGTTGCTTTGAAGCCCAAATGCACATTGTCGCTCAAGAGACTTTGGTCAATAAGCTGTTTGAGTAACCCAGGATATCTAGGTTTTGTGAGATCTTTAAAACTGTTTTGAATGAAATGTTTGTTTAGGATTCCGTGCCATTTTCTTTTCACCGTCCTAAATACGTCTACATCAAATAGCTGTAGCACGTGAGATATGTGAGCCGGTAGCTTAAAAACAATAATCTTCTTCTCTTTTGCTAAGTGAATTAGTTCCAGTGTTACGTGTGAGGCATGGCCATCTAGAAAAAAGACTTTGGATCCTTCAAGCTTGCGAAAATGTGGGACAAATGTCTTTTCAAACCACCCAGTAAAAGCAGGTCCTTCCATCCAACCAGATTGTGTGACACCATAGGTAGCACTGTTAGGTCTGTCCTGAGTTAAAAGCCATTTGGACATCAATCTAAAATTTCAAATAATTAAATAGTAGTTTTTAAAATGCAGAGTTTTCCTGATTATTGGCACATCTGGTTTAATTCGTCATAAATACCTTTGACCTTGGAATAAAACGAGAACAGGCAAGAATGTTCCAAAAGCATCACAACAAACGAGTATTGTGACTTAAGCCTTTTTGTTACTACTGTATTAGGCCCTTTTGAACCTTTCTGACACACAACCTTAAATTTGCCTTGATTACATTGAAGACCAGATTCATCGGAATTAAAAATGTGGAACGGCTTAGTTACGAATCTATGTATATTGTACATATCAGACACTTGTGCAAACCTTGATTTAAGAAATAAAAAAAATTATAAAGTAGGTTATTAAAATGCTATAAATTAAGCAGTTTATAAAAAAAAGACAATTTTTAAACATTGCAATCGAATTGAAATTTACCTTTTAAAAATTGCATTTTTTTTTTAATTAAATAACAATTAATTATGAAATATATTTACATATAAACATATAATTTTAATAAATACCATTGATTAATAGTGCCAGGCTGAGTCGACATTGCACGGTTTGATGGCATATTATTTGAAATTCTGAGCGATAGCTCTTCACAATGACGTTTAATAAATGAGTAATACCAGGCAAGTGTAACTTCACTGCCGTTAAAACACATTTGATTTGAATTAACAAACTAGTTGTTAACAACACACAGTATTTCAAGTCTAGTCAAACTAAAACTAATATCACTCATAAATATTAAAATTTTTACTAAAATGCCCTCGATGTTTTTGCTCAACTTAATTGGTTTGTCATTTTTTTTAGTATGATTGCCGTTACTTCTGTCAATGAAAGTTTATCTTTTAAAGCCAAATGTTATAGCTGCTTTGCTTTTACTCATACCTTTATCCACAGCCTTCAAACCACGAGTCATCTGAGCTTTCTCACGTAAATCCATAGATGACATAGATGTATTAACTTGACTAAAAATTTATTTCAATGTGTTGCAATGTATATTATTGTTTTGTAATTACTTCATATTCAGTGATTTAAATTTACCAGTATTTTTTGAAATTAAAATTTATCTGCAAATTGACCAGTAAATTTTGTTTTAAAACAGGGTAATTTTGAAATTATAAACAAATTCTTTATTCAAATAAAATACCATCGTGAGTATCCATTATAAAAATGTTAAAACTTACTGGTAAATTTACAGGTAAAGTTATCTGTAAATTTACGCAATTGCAACACAAGTTTATATTCACTAAGTCACATTTTTAACATACTAACATTTTACAACATTCGTGCTAGTTGTTTCCTTCGTTGTTTTTCCATGAATGACCGAAGTTAGTTCAAAATTTCACTATTTTTATTAAAAAAGTAGTTTTTAATAATAATAGTTTTTAATTTTTAAAAATTATTATTATTTTTTTTTGTGAATATAATTAATTTGGCGATTTTTAATAATGCTAAGATTATATGATCATTTGATCTATGATCATTTATTTTAATAGTCGATTAGATATTTGAAATATGATCATTTATTTTAATAGTCGGCTTATTTTAGATTTCAATAGTATGCATTTTTTTAAATTATTGTTTTGCTAAAGAATTATTTCAGCATGTTGCATATAAATATTATTATTTTTTTTATAGATTCATATTTACAAACTCATTACAAATATTATAGATATATTATAATATTATTATATATAAAAGTTATATATATTATAGATATATTATAATATTATAATATATAAAAAAGTTTGTAAAATTTGAGTTTTGCATGCTTTTTTTCTATTTTTTTCTTAATCGACCGAAATTACATAGTGACCGAACTTAGGTGGTTTTACGGTAGCGGCTTATTACTTTTGTAAAAAGCGCAAATATCAAACATAATTGCAAACTTTTTTACGTGATCGTCATTCAAACTTTTAAAGTGGTTATTATAAAGTTAATTACTTCTTTTATATTATTGCTTTTATTTTACCACTTAAACAATATGTTTAGACTTGTTTAAATATTAAAAAATGATAAAAAATGGTTTATGTGAAATGGCTTTGCGCTTATGTTAAATGGCGCATACATAAATGGCACATCAGTTTATGCTTTAAAATAAGGCCTAATATATTACTAACTGTATAATATAACAACATGAAACATTTTACTGATACATTTTTTATTTTTATTTCTAAATAGTGAAGCAAATTTTGCTGCATATATAAACTTTTTTTTATAGAATTCAAAGAGCCAACTGAATTATCTATGGATGTTAGTGAGGAACAATATGTCTGGAGTCAGAATAAAGAATGCCTAACTATCACATTTAAAAAATCTGTAGAAAAAACAAATGTTTCATGTTTGATTAAAAAATCTTATTTGTCTGTTGAACTTCTTAATGGCTCTGTGTTGCTACAGGGAGATCTTGAGCGGGATATTGATATTGAATTATCAAGTTGGTCAATTGTTGATAAACAGTAAGACTACTAGGTTTCTTGTTTTTGATCTATTGCATTTTAAAACTATAATTTTGTATTGTAAAATCATTTTTTTATAATTTTTTTATAATTTTTTAAATCTCTTTTATTTGCAAATGATTTCATATTAATATTGTTTTAATATGATATCATATTGTTATTAGTTTACTTATTTTTAATGGTAATAAATTAACAGTTTATTCTAATCACGAAATATGGTTTTAGCACTTTTATGAGTTTTTGATTTAAAAATTTAAGATTTTTATTCTGAAATATGCATATTCGATATATTTAAAGATATTTGTTTGTAAAACTTAGGGGTTAACAATGTTGTTACTTATTTATGGTTAAAAAAATGTCAATTTTTTTTACTAAAATTTATGTTCGATAAACATAACATATATAACAAAAAAAATTAGATGTTTTGTAACATCTTTTCTCTACTTGGATAAATAATTTTATAAAAGAATCTGATGTCTTATTTTATCTTAAAATGTTAAAAGACAGAAAAAATAATGTATTGTAAAACAAACTTTTGCAAAGAGATTGTAACTGAATTTCATGTGGTTGTTCAACTAAGTTGCATCCTTTTACTGTAACTGTTCCTTCTGTTTATTTAAACAATATATCTAGATTTCATTTATTTAAACAATATATCTAGATTGTAGGCCTTGTTATAAGATTTTGTTGCAAAATAAAAAAGTGTTCTAATATATGACATCATTGTAGTTTGTTTTTTTTTCTAAGTTGATTTTTTTTTTTTTTTTTTTTTTGAATTAATATTATTTGTTTTTGTTTTATTTATTTTTTTAAATAAGCGTTTATCATCAATTGCATGACTTTTATTTAATTTTTATAGGAAGCAAAAGAATGTTTTTTTATAGAGCACGAGAACCAAAAATAATTAAGATTTTTATGAGACTCTTAAATACAGGGCTTTGGGGCCAAAGTCTAAAAATTGGCTCCAGCTCAAGAGCGGCATCGCAAAAAAAAAAAAAAAAAAAAAATTCTAATGTTTTATAACAGTAACTTAAGTACTTTTAATATTTTAATAATCAAAATTTTGATTCATCTTTAAAAATATAATATCTAAAATATCAGGTTTTAGTGAATAATGCAGATTACTCGGTATAAACTTAAGCGCAGGAAATAGCCTCTCTACACTTGCTTGTGAGGCAGACATACAATTGACTACTCTGTGTACTTTTTGTATTCTTTTTGCGTATTTTTTAATTCGTTCAAAAGCTGGTTTCACTTTTAAACATCCCATTTATTCTATTACCCTAGAGTCGTATATAAAATTTTATATTAAAAGTATTTTTATCATTAAAATTAATTTTGGTCATACTTCTCCTTTTTTCTTTTTTATCTAGCTATTTTTATAAATTTGTTCTACTACTGTTTTTAAGTCTTGTTTTGATCTTATTATCTGGTTTACTTCCATTAGTATTCTATATCTAGCCCAAGAATTGAATTCAACGATTGCGAAATTCAAAATCTGGAAAAATATCTGGTCTTCAAAATTTTGGTCTATGCAAAAGCGTGTTCTTTGTTTTCAAGCGAAAAAGTTTTAAAAAATAAAACAAAACAATAAACTTACGACTACAAAAGTAATAACACTCTAGTAACTAACTCCATTATAAAAGTAATAACACTATAATAGTGTTATTACTTTTATAACGCACTTTTATAAAAGTGCGTTATAAAAGTAATAACACTATTATTACCATCTCAAATTGTAATTGAAGTAAAAAAACATCTAGAAAAATAAAGTGGATATTCAAATAATATTTAAAACTTATTAAGAAACTTGAACAACTTTATAAAAAGTTTAGCATTATGAAAAATGTTACTAATGATCCGTTAATATATGCGTTCTATTGGTTGATTTAAAAATTAGTGCGCGTATTTGCGGACTATTAGTAATGTTTTTCATAATGCTAAACTTTTTAAAAAGTACGTTGTTATAAAGTTGTTTAAGTGTATTTGTAAAAGTTCCTGAAGTTTTTAATAATATTTGAATATCCAATCTATTTTATTTAGATGTATTTTTACTTTAATTAAAGTTTGGAATTACTAATGTTGTTTGAACTAAGAATGAACTTTAAAAGTTATAAGTGCTTTATAAAAGTAATAACACTATTATAGTTTTATTACTTTTATAATGCAGTTAATGACTAGAGTGTTATTACTTTTGTAGTCGTAAGTTTATTGTTTTGTTTTTTATAACTTTTTCGCTAACAAATATAATAATTTGCTCTTTGAAAACAAAGTACATGGCTTTGCATAAACTAAAGTTTTGAAGAAAAGATATATTTCCAGACTTTTATTTTTATATTATAAATAGCCTCAACATAAACTACAGCTTGAAGTATATCATTATCAAAACATTTTCCTGCTCGTTTCTGCATTGATTTTGAAATGTCTTCCGCAATTTGTCTTTGACTCTTTTCTAGGTCAGATTTCAAATTCAACCATTCCTTTAGAGACTCTCCTTGAAGTGATGTTGATTCCTTGAAGTTTAACTGTCACATCATACCAGTTTTTTAAAAGATTGCAAAGATGACTCAACTTATCCCATATTTCAGGGCTCAGAAAGAATATTTGATAAACTGCAGCAAATTGCTCACACAGTGAATGCAAAAGCAATAATTGTTCAATTAATTAATTATTTCCTGGAATATAGAACCCCAACGTGTCTCATCCAAAATTGGAATGACCTTGTATTGCTTTATACATTGTGAGTTTCTTAAATTCTTTACAGCATAATAACTTTTGCATACATTGCCCAACTTTTGCCTAAAGTTGGGCAATGTATGTTTTTTGTAATGCAATGTAATGTTTTTTGTAATGCAATGTAAATTTTTTAAAGCACCATAAATAGCTAGCTGTAAAGTGTGAATAAACCAGCGCATCAGCTTATTGTCAGTAGACAATAGTTGACACCATTCTGGGAGGATAAAGTTCCAGTACTGGAACTTTATCCTCCCAATTTAAAAAATACAATTTAAAAATTCCTACTTGATAGCAAAAAAAGTGATAGCAAAAAAAAGATTAAAGTAGTCTGTTTGGTTTTAGTATTGAAATATTATGAAAGCAATAAAAAGGATTCTGAAGATTTTCTTTAAGTCATAAGGCTCATTTTGGATTCAACAATTTTAATTTCTGATAGATGTGATCTTTCCAAATGCCATTTCATATTGTAAACTTTTGATTTTTTTATTTATATGCCACATGAAATCACTTTATCATTTATTTTTTCTGTAATCTTACTTTTTGTACTTCTGTCAACTGAAAAATACTTATCTAGAAACCTCTCAGAATTGTTTGAGTTAGAAGCCATTGTCATTAAAAACTATGGAAAACAAAGTAAATGACAAATTTTAAAGATAAGAGAAATAATTAAAAAAGTACATTTAAATTCCTTTAAGAAATTCATTTGTAAACAAGTGTTCCCTCATTATAAAAAAATAACCATAAAACAAATGTTTTAAAGAAAGAAAAAAAAAAGTTTTGATAAGTATAAGATTTTAAAATAAGGAAATGTTCCTTTTTTTAACATTTAAATTTTATTTAAAATTTTTTTTTACAACAATATTGTCTAATTTAAAGAACTTTCATAAAGATAAAGACTTACAGCAATTTTTAATGTGGTTTTAAATTTAATTACAATGTTTTAATTTAAAATTTACTGATGTAACTAAATTTTTAATGATGTAAATATCTTAATTTAGTAAAGTTACATTTATTCAGCTTACATATTTCTGTTATGCAACATTACACAACATTATGCAATCTCATAACAAGGCCTGGTATATACATATATACAATAGGAAAAAAACTGAATAAGAAATAAAACTAAAAATTGAATTAAAAAGAAAAAGAGTAAAAGTATGTAAATAAAAGAAGACGAAGAAAGAAAAAAAAAAATTATTTATTATATAAAAGTAATTGAACTATATTTGTAAAATAAGGAAGATTTTTTGTTGTACTGTGTTATTGTTTGTTGTTATTATTCCTTTCTTGTTTCTTGAGGTTTTATAACGTTTATAACAGTTTATAGCGGTTTTATAATATTATTGCATTATTGCTTGATTTAAATCGTTGTTAATATAATTGTCTTTGTTATTATTATTATTATTTTCTATTGTATTACTGTTATTGTTATGTAAACTCTTTCATTATTTTTATATATTATGTTATTACATATTATTATCACATATTATTTTTACTGTATTATTAAGATTATTAGGTCTATTTTATAATTCCATTGTTTTTTTTTTTAATTATGTTAATTTATGTTTTGTATTATTTAATAATATTACTGTTGTTGATTTTATTTTATGTTGATTTTATTTAGGTGTCACTCCCTTGATTAGTTTTTAACTATATGAGTGACGCCTAACCTAATTTGTAAAATTATAATTAAATTTCAGGGTGTTATCCAGCCTGATGGCACCGCGTATAACGCGGTATTCCCAATTGGTTTAAAATTCCCAAAGGTTTATAAGATCATAGTAAAAAAAAAAAAAAAATTAAGTCAGTCTCAGATTTGAAGGGATCCCAAACTGCCGACACATGTTGTGTTCATATTAAAGATAATGTTAAAAAAAGGTTTGAACCAAGTTTTTTTGATTAAAAATAAATAATGAATGCATACTGAGAAAAACTAACGTTGTTGTTTTAGCCGAAGCTTGCCTTCTCCATTTTTTTGAATAACTCGAAGTCTTTAAATTATACGTCGCAATCTACAGACTTTGGCAATTCCTTCGAAGCGCGTTTAATTCATAAAAGTTACAGTAGACTTTTAACAAATGAAACTCTGGAAATACTTTTATTTATTTTTATTCAAACTTTTTTTGATTATTTGTTAAGTTTTTTTTTTTTTTTTTCTATTTTTAACATTTAAAAAGATATTAAAAACCTCAAATATTTTATGCTGGTTCGTTGCTATAAATTGTTATTGCGCCATATATTTAATGTTTATAAATTATGAATAT